GTAATATTTGGGGTCACAAGTTTTTGCCATGGATATTTTGTGGGTCAGAAGATAAAAAGTTTGGGAACCACTGTCTTACAGCATTCACACCATTAGATCGTTCTTTCTTCCGTACATTTTTTGGCACCGAACTCGTTCCACAATTTTTGTGCTATTTCAACAATTCATATATTAAAACGTTCAGCTCATTTATACCAAAGGTGCTATGACTTTTGGTATTTCAGCTATTTATACATTTTCAGCTATTTCACTTTTTTAACTACTTTTTTGCCATTGAAAATAAATAAAGTTGTTTTCTACATCTTTCTGGTTCTGCTCTTACACTTTCTTGTGCTAATTTTAGCTACTTTTTGCAACTTGATGATTTTTTCTGCTATTTCAGCTAAAATTCTTCAGCTTTTTTCTACTTTTTCTGCTACTTTGTGCTATTTAAGTGTCTTACAGATGCTTTTTCCTATATTCAGCTTTTGCTGCAATTTTTTTAGCTGTTTTCTGCTATTTCAATATTTTTGCTCCTTTTACTGTTTTTCTGCAAAGTTAAGCTTTATTTATTTATTTTTTTTGCTTCTTTCAGCTTTTCATATTTGACTTTTGGTATGCTTGTTTGTCTTTGTGTCTATGGTGTATAATGATGTGATTGTGATGCTATGTTTCTGAGTGTTTTATGTGCTGCAGAACAGGAACCTGCTGTAAAACAGCAATTATGCTGAGTCAGGCTTGATTTTTAGTGATCTTTTCCTGTTGAATCAATAAATCAAATCAATCTTGCATTAACGCTTTTGCTATTAAATATTTTCAGCTCAATTTCAGCAGCTTTCAGCTAAAGTTTTAAGCACGAAGCATTCTAGCTTTTTCACAGGAAATTCTATTTGTCTAGTTGTTATTATTTTTGTTGTCAGTTGTGGTTCTTCCTCACCAGAGGCGACTCGTCCTGGTCGTATTTGCGTATGGAGGACATGAACTGCAGGTGTCTGTTCTGCTCCTCCAGGGTGACGACTTCCTGCTCGCTGTCCTGCAGCCGCTGCTGAGAGCCGGCCAGCTCGTCCCTCAGCCACTGGTTCTCCTGACAGAGACGACGCACCTGAGGAGCAGACAGGTGGGGGGAGGAGGAGGTGGTTACGAGGAGGGAGGAAGGAAGCAGGGGTTTCTGACCTCACAACAACTGTTCCAAACCCCACAGAGGCTCACGTCATGGCTGACCTCTGACCTTTAATCGTCTCCTGACCTGCAGAGGTGACACCGGCTCACACCTGGCACTGTTCACCTGATGTGGATACTTTATTCCGACACTTCCTCATTTTACAACCGCAGAGTCAAAGAGCTGAGCGAAGAACAGCCAGTGTTCAAAACATAATGAGCTTTAAAAGCTGGAGGAGCTCACTCACCTGAGCTCGCAGCTTTTGTTTTTCAGCCTCCAGCGACCCGAGATGAGCCGACAGCGCCATCATCACCTGCAGAGCAGAAGAATTTCCGACGTTCCAGATGTAACTTTATTTTGAAAAGCCAGATTTTAACAGATACATTTAGGTTCTGCCGTTCCGGACTCGGTACCTGCGCCTCGTTCAGGCCCAGCTCGATCCTCTCCAGCGACTGCCGGATGATGCCGCTCTTCTCCTGCTCCACACCGCCGCTCTGAGACGCCTCCTGCAGGCTCTCCAGGAGGCCGCGGTTCTCCCCCCTCAGCGCCTCCAGCCCGGCGATCACCTGCTGCGTGTTGCACAGGATCTCCTCCGCCGACAACATGGCCGCTGCTCCTCCGAGGCGCCTCCTCGCACTGCGGAGGACCTACGAACAGGATTATACAGGAGGTGGTATTATTATATACACTGGTCTGCAGGATCTTTTATTTTGAAAAATTACCACTTCTGTAGACTCTTATCGCTCATTCTGTAGGTTTTTATTTCCTGCAGACCTGCAGCCATTTCTGCCTCTCAGCTCATTCAGAACATCGCAGCCACGGCATTTGATTATTTTATATATTTTTTATTATTTAATTATTTAATACATATTTCTTAGTTTTTTCAAAGCTGCGTACATGCTTCGCCTTGATTTTACCCATCGTTTAGCTAGTTTCAATTTATATCTACCTTTCTAATGATTTTAGCTTTCAGCTGCTGTTTTGCTAGTTTTGGCTGCTATCTGCTGTTTTGATTAATTCAATCTTTAGCTACCATTCAGCTAATTTAAAGTTATAACTGCTACCTTACCACTGTTAATTTTTAATAAACGTTTTGTTGATTTGATCTTTTGTTTGAATTGTTTTAACTATTGTTGTGCTAATTTTAGCTACTTTCAGCTGCTGTTTTTCTCATTCTGGCTTCCATCTACCGCTTAACTAAATTTAGTCATTAGCTACATTTCTGCTAGCCTTAGATTTTAGGTGCTATCTTGCAAATGTTAACTTTTAGTAGAGGTTTCGCTGGTTTTGCTCTTTTGTTTGGCTAGTTTTAATTAACGTTCTGCTAATTTTTGCTACTCTCAGCTGCTGTTTTGCTCATTTTGGATTCTCTCTACTGCTTAACTGAATTTAGCCTTTAGCTATTATTCTGCAAGCTTTAGACTTCAGGTGTAATCTTACAAATGTTCACTTTTAGCAGAAGTTTGACCGATTTTTGCTTTTTTCTCTCTCATTTTGGCTTGTATCTACTATTTTTTGTCTTTTTAGTATTTTTCTAATATAAACTCACAGCAGAGTTTTTGTTAATTTCAGTTTTCAGCTTCTGTTCTGCTAATTTTAGCTGGTATTTAGCCAATAATAAAATAAAATAAAATAAAATGTACATAATGTGAAATCTGTGTTGTTTGTTCTATTAATTTTAAAATAAACAAACAACAATCTGTAAAACTAAATTGGGCACATTTAAATTAAAGACTAAAGCGTTTGTACTGCACTTTTTAAAAACACAAAAAGGTTATATTTACACATAATTCTGACGTGAGTGTTATAATCTGCTGTAAGAAAATTAAATGTAACAGGATTACAACTAATAAAATAAACAAAAAATTGTTTGTTTCCCATAATTTTAGCAGCCAGATGAAAACATTATTAAATGTATTCATTGAATCTCAGTGTATTTGTAAACCTACAGGATCAAACACCTTTAATCTGCACCATTTAATAAAGTTCAGGATGACCTTTAATATAGTTTAAAATAACCTTTTAATGTTTGATTACAAAGTGTGTAATAAGCACATTTAAAACCTGGATATAAACCAGAAGACCTGCAGAACAGAGGTTTATTATCTCGTTTATTTTGTTTTGTTTAATGTTGGCGTCACATTATGACTCAGTAATAATTTATAGTAGTTTATAGTAACTGCGTCACTCAGGTTTTAATAAAACAAAACAAACAACAAAAGCTTCTGTTGTGAGTTACAAACCGGCTGCTGTCACTAAAACACAAAGCTGTTTATTTATCCGACCTAAACATGAGTAGATGCAGACAGACACGGTGGATTCTCCCAAACCAAAGTAAGAAGTTGTTTTTAGCCTACCTGCTGGCTTCAGGATCCTGGAGTGTTTTCGTGTTTTAAAACTAATTTTAGTAAATTACTATTTTTATTTTAGAAAAGCGAACCTGTTAGCAGCAGCAGAACATCCACCCTCAGACTTTTATGAAGTTAATTGATCGTTGAATAGGTGAGACGACAAAAACTCCGGGTTGTAAATCATTCACCTGCTTCCTCAGCTCCTCCTTTCATCAAGCGGCTATTAGCATCGAGCTAGCAGCAGCAAGATTGGCACTTCCGTTTTATAGCTTCAAAATAAAAGTCTAAGGACTGTACGCCGGGGACTCCCACTTACAAAATTACATGAACAGACAAATTTAAAAGCATCAGTTAAACAAATGTAGATAACTAACTTTGAAATTGAATATTAATAATAAAATACGTTGTAATAAATAAATAATAATAGAATATTTAGTCAACGCAAGTGGCGTTGAACAGCATTGCTTTTATTTTGAAGAAAATGTTTGACAACTTCCTACAAGTTAACTTCTTTTTTCTTGACGAGGCGGAGAAGCTTACCTGATTTCCCATCATACACTGCGGCGCCTGGGATTAGGCCCCCTATCAGATATCAGAGAGGTGAACTGCAGATGAACACAAACCATCAAGAAAAGCCTCTCAGACCATCAAATGAAATTTAAATATTTATTTTAAGCAATTTCACAAAAAAATATGGTAACGTTTCTGGGTACGTTTTTTATTTCAACAGCTTTTTGTGTGGTAAAGTCAACTTTGTTGTGTTTTTAGATATTAAATTTCCTGTATCACCTAAAAGATGTTTCATGTAATGTAATGTAATACAATCTCTTTTTATTATCAATATTTTGTTTATGTGAATTTATTTGAATGTGACTCTTTGTTTTGAACAGTTTGCAGTCATATGTTGGTATTTTTTCTTTCGTTTCTGTACATTTTGAACCGTTTCCTTAGACTTTGCCTTGCTGCTGTCACAGATTATCACTCAGATTAAACTTGGTGGTCTGTGTTGAGGTCAGCGAGTCGAACCCGCTTTAGTGCCATTAATGCTACAAGCTGGAGGAGTGAGGTTTTAATAAACAATTACTTAGGCTTACACTAAGACTTATTTGTAGAACAGTGGAGTTGAAGTATTTCACATAAAAAGGTAGACAAAAAACAGATGCACGTATAAATTAAAAATATTATGTAATCACACCGGAGGACTCACAGGTTACAGCTTTCCTGGCCAACATCCCACTGATGTAAAAATAGAAAAGAATGATTCATGAAATGGAAACAATGACACTATTGTGTCTGATATCACGTGGCTGGAAGTCTGAGGCAAGGCGGATGTTTCAGTGATGTTAGTAAAAAACTCAATTTATAAAAAGCTTCCAGTGAAATCTGAATATTGATGGTTAATTTGTTTAATTGGAGAACACTGGAACAGAGAGAACCTGAGAAAATCAATCAGGCAATATATATATA